GGCTGATTCCATAGTTCCTACACCCACACCCACACCCACACCCACACCCACACCCACACCCACACCCACCCTTATCAATGCAAGGAACTGTTCCTCAGCAAAACTGAAAACAAGTTCGATAAATTTATTTGCATAGTCATTTTCCCTATACTCAGATTTCGTATTATTCATTGTTAGTTATTGAAATTAAAATATGCCATTCAACACATATTGAGCTAAAATTACACTAAACTTGAACGTTTTTGATTATTATTTTCTAAAATAAATCATTTGAAAAAAGTTCTTTTTAGATGCTAACTTGGGTTCAACTGCAGAAGAACGACACCCTCTACACTAATATGTTTAAATGACTGAGGCACATCAAAGAGTGTGCGTGCCGCGGTGTCGTTATTCTACAGTTGTACCATTTTTTCATCTATTTATATAGATACACGCTACCGCGTTCACCTTAGAATAAACAAAAACAAAAGAAAAAAAACATCCGTCTGCGAAGATATTCGACTATAGAAAAAAATAATTATATCTTCGCTCAATAAAAAAAGGTCAACCTTTTTCTTCCAATGAGAGTGTTTGTGAGCAAAGCATTGATACATAGGTATATATATCGTGCTATGATATGCATTACAATCACATTTAAATATGAATGGGTACAATGTTAATCTTCTTGATCTTCCTATTGAAATATTATTTCTTATTTTGAAAAAACTTGACAATATTGAAGTTCTTTACTCTTTACTGGATGTAAACAACCGACGACTTGACATTGTAGTACAAGGCCAAATCTTCACCACTACTCTTAATTTTTTTTCTATATCACAATCAACTAATGAAATTTCATCAATTTCTAACTCGATACTCGATCAGTTTTGTATTTCAATATTACCAAGAATTCATAGAAATATCAAATCTCTTATTCTTGATTCCGATTCTATGGAATGTATTCTTCGTGCTGCTTATTATCCTAATCTTACATACCTTACAATTTTAAATTTCAACAAAGCAGTTGTGTCACGTTATTTCATAGGTAAGAAATTCACTTTTACTGATCTGTTCAAAGATTGACATAGAAAAAAAACTGAGAGATTTAGATTTAACGATATCTATGTTTTTTGTTTAGATGATACTCCTTTTCAA